CTTGGATGTACAAGTGATGTAATGGATAATGGCTCAGAATTGGAAATCGGAGAGCCAAGTTCCAATTCCAGTCAGGTTTGTTATATTCATTTGCATGCAAATACCCTTGGGAAAGTTATGAATTCACCTCTTATCCCCCCAAATATGGGTTAGTTAGCAGGACTTGTATCACTAAATCATTATTATTATCATAAAATTCTTATAATCTAAAAATATTTTCTGCCCTTAAATAACCTGCAACAGGTTAATAAATCATAAAAAAAAAATCTTGATTGTCAGGAGGGGGCCTTTTGCAAGAGTTTTAGCAAATTCCACTGTTCTTTTTTCCTTCACAAAGCAGTTCAACAATTTTTGCTTTCTCTTCTTTATGTACCATGTTCCCTCAGGACATAGGCGATCATGGCTCTCCACAACTTCCTGTTCTCTGTAGCTCTTAATAAATTTTGTTTTTCTGTTTTCTCCTAAGCCCTGTTCCACTATTCATTTACTCAAGCTCAATTAAATATGTTATCCGTTGTATTCCTCTTACCCTCTATCTGTCTCATGAGTATCAGATTTTCCAAGCCCTCTTTCCTCATTATATGCCTTTTCTAAATGTTGTTGAAAAATGCTTTATGGCCCAAAGCATAGATAATTTGAAACCGTGGAAAAGAAATGATAGCAACAAAAAAAAAAAAACCATTTTATTACTGTGCAGAATCACTTAACATTACACAAACCTATTCCTCTGAAACCATTTGTGAACATGTCTATGTAAGCAAACAAAACCACATGACCCATTAGTTAATTTGACCAAGTTTCAGATGATTGTCTGAAGTTATTCTGCCAAACAGATGGATAGGTCTTTATATAAACAACTTAATCTCAAGGAGTTTTAGAGATAATTTTTTAATTCAGCCAAGGAAGTAACTTATTTTTGCCTGACTTATCTCCATGTTATTATTTTTGTTTGACTCTTTAAAAAACCTTCAAGCTACCTAATTTCTCAAAACTAATTAACTTTCTTAATTAGTTCTTTTTTTCACATTTCATTCCAAGACCCATTAAATGTGATCAAACCTTCTCTCATTTCCACCAATCCCTTACTGTATATGTCGGGTCTTTCTACATTTAATTGTGTGTCAACTAGTGTGAATCCAGCTAGCCACTTAACCATGGTCTGATAACCTATTTCCCATAAATTATTCCCTCCTCATATAGGACCCCCCCCTCTAAAAAAAAAGGTAAATAAAAATGAAAAAAGGTCTTGGAAAACGGAAAAACTTTTTGTGAAAATTTTTTTGGACCTGACAAAACTTGATTTGGCTAAATTTCTTTGAAAAGCCCTTTCTCCAAAATTATTCTACCAAAGAATCCACACTAGATAGATGGATAGGTCTTATGTAAACAACTTAATCACAAGGATTTTTAGAGATACTTTCTTGGCTGAGGTTAAAAAAATAAATTACTTGTTCTTATTTTTGCCTGACTTGGTGAATATAGCAGGACAGTAACCAGTTATACTAAGTTATCTCCAAGTTTATTTTTGACTCTTTAAGAAACCATCAAGCTATTTAATTTCTTGAAATTAATTAACTTTCTTAATTAGTTCTTTTTTCACACTTCATTCCAATACTCATTAAATACAATCAAGCCTCCTCTCACACCCCTCAGTTCTGTGCTATAAAACTGGACTTTTCTACATTTAAGTCTGATTATCATCTTTGGAAAAAAAAATTTAATCATCCTAAAAAAAAAAAAAGAAAAAAACTTTTAAACCATCCTGAAATCAAAATGTTATTTTTATAACTTCATGATTTATAGTAGCATAATAAAAACTATCATTGAAATGTTTAGGAAATAAATATTTATTTTGATCCATTCAATCTTTAAACTGGTCTCTGTGCACTGCAACTATCACTCTTAAATTTATTTGTTTTTAATGAAAGTAATACAGATTGTTACAAAAACTTTATTCTTATTTTAAAAAAGGTAAAATATTAAAGTTTTTAATTTTCAATTTGAGTAATTTTCATTAAATTTTTAAAAGTAGGGAAAAATTTTCTTTGAAATAATTTTTGTAAATATGCATACCTTAGACCCTCCTTAGGTTGGGACACTTGTCAGAATAAAAAAATATTAATGTTTTTTTTTTTTTTTGTTTTTTTGGGTTTTTTTTTTTAATTCTTTTAGTAGGGGTTCTTTTCATAATATCAATACAGTGTAAAATCGATCCCTGACTTGACAGAGTTATTGAACTTAGTAGTTTTATGTACAAAAACACTTTATTTATTTATTGTTTAAAAGATTTCTTTAAAGAACAAATGGACAGATACATTTTTAATTAAAGAACAAAATTATACACAAATAAATAGAAGTATATAACCATTTATTCTTCATTTAAGATAAATAATAACCCCCCCCCTAAAAAAAAACAGTTTTTAAAAAAAAATTTTAATTCAGAAAATAAAAAAAATTATTTTTAAATATCCAGTGTGTAAGCACAATTTCAAATTTGGAATTTGTATATGACAACTAAGTCCAATGACTCTTTAAAAAGTCAGGGATCGATTTTATACTGTATTATAAACAGCCACCCACTTAAACTAATGATGTCACACATTATGAAATGGACAAAGTCCGACAATTATTTTAAGACATTTTTATGTTTATACATCCTTTTTTTTTTTTTTTTTTTTTTTGACATCATTTGTTTACATTTGGATATGCATTGAGCAGATATGAATGTACGTGAGAGAATCATGGAAGATTGTAGATTAAAAACAGTAAAATCGACCTTGCTAACCGAACGCTCCTATGTGGCAAAATCTGTAAAAGCACGTCAGGCTATATGACGGTTCTGTATAGGATACAGGTTCGATTCCTGTCGGAGGACACATATTTTCTATGACAATTTCTTGGACATTCAGGCCGGTAAATGTTGTTAATACTGTTCATTATAAACAGAGCATTTACTTAAATATTTGTATCTATAAAAAAAGAATGTATAAACATAAAAAATGTCTTAAAATAAAACACTATGTTTCAAGAGGATTCTGTATGCAGTAAAAGGGGAAGTAATATTTATAAATGTTAAATTGCAGAAACGAGTTTTGAACAGTATTGTCAGGAAGGTATAGTCTAATTTTTTTCCCTTTCCCAAATTTTGCGGGCAGCTTTGGCCCAGTTTAAAATAATATTTCAAAATTAACCGAATTTTAACATTTGTTATTCAATACTTTTGAAAATTTAAATAGTAATAAATTAGCAGTCATGCATCATCTTTAGATATCAACATGAAATAAGCTTTGGAGTAAAGGTCTGTCAAAAATACTGTTTGTAATTTAATAATTTTAGTTTTCTTTCTTTATTTCTTTCTTTCTCAAGCTTATCCATTTTTTAAAATCATTTCACCCCAAGCAAGGCAATAAAGCCACTAAGACGCATAGTGTTAATGTGTGTGAAATAATATAAGAAAAATAAAACCATTATTAAGGAAAGAGAGCAATAAGAGAACAAGAATTAAGAAGACAGAAGATAAATGAATAATTCTACAGTTGTTGATTGTTTTTCTTTTTTCTCTATTTGAGTGATTTACATTATCATCGCCATCATCATGAAACTTGAATTATATCATTTTATTTCTGCCAATATTTTTAATAAAAGAAAAAAAAATTGATGAACTCTAATTATATTTTTAATATTTGTGTCACCTGCCAGCCAGGTGTGATAAGCAAAAATAAATAAAATGTGGATTTCTGTGAAATCTTGATTTTTTTTTTTTTCCCCCCACTTTTATGTCACAATAGATGAGACCAACAAAAATGTCTTGTTCCTTGTTTGTTTTTATTTTTTTTATGTTATTTTACAGCAGTCTACTTATAAAAAAAGGACATGAAACCAGAATTCCCTGACATGCTACTAATTATCTTGATGAGAATGTTTTATGATGGATACACACCAATAAGATATTTTTAAAAAGAAAAATGTGAGGGTGATGCTGTTCATGTCTTTTTTTAAGACAATTGAAGTCATGATACAGTTTCTTTCTTTTTTCTTTTTCTTTTTTTTCTTTAACTTATTCATATTCCAGTTGAGTTTTGATTCTTTGTGTTGGAATTACTTATTTACTAAGCTTGGCTTCATCTGGCCCAAGGCCTCAGTTGTGGAGCACTCAATGAATATCAATTTCATTACAGAGTAGAAATGGTTTGTGAAATTAGCTTGTTAACCATTACCTTACAGCAAGGCACCCTATATATATATATATATATATATATATATATATATATATATATATATATATATACACACACACATATATATTTTGTATATTTAGGCAGCAATCCTTCTTTCGATTGCACATTTCATTGAATATGACAGACAAGGTGCTTTTATTTAGTTTTTTATACAATTTCTCATGTGATCTAATAATTTTTTTCTTTTTGGATGATAAATTATATAAAAACTGTCCGAATGTTCTTTTTATCTGAGCACTTTCGGCTATACATTTAGACATTTTCAAGGATTAAATATTTTAACTGTTAAATAAGAAATAGTTTGTTGTATGTATGTTTTATAAAATGTTTTCATTTTTCAAAACAGTCTAAATATTATGTCCATGTTCAAAGTTAATATTAGTAAGTGTTGGTTTTTTTGTTTTTATTAATTTCTAACTATTTTAACTATTTCTTATTTAACAGTTAAAATATTTAATCCTTGAAAATGGCTAAATGTATAGCTGAAAGCGCTCGGATAAAAAGAACATTCGGACAGTTTTTATATAATTTATCATCTGAAAAGAAAAAATTATTAGATCGCATGAGAAATTGTATAAAAAACTAGATAAAAGCACCTTGTCTATTGTATTCAATGAAATATATACATATATATAAGAAAAAATGACAAGAGGAAAACTTATTTTTGCAATGTGTTTCATTTCTTGAGAAACTTCATCGAAGACAAATGTAGAAAATCTTTTGAGAAAAAATGTTATGTATTCAAATTTAAATTTGAGAAGA